TGACCAATCCCAACATCAAAATTCTACACACCTTATTTGCATGGTCCCACCCAGTAAACCTGGTGGGAGTTACAAAGACTGTGGCTAGAAAAGCCATACCAAGTTAATTCACTGTTCTGTCCAGGGAATGTATCTACCTCAGGTAAATGTTCAACTCATATGCCTGTCTTTTGTTTGGCTGGAAGCCAAGTGTGGGTTCAATTCCAGACCTGAATGGCAGCTAGGGGCCATAGTCTCAGTGGTTCTACCAGGCTCTGTCAGACCAGCAAACCTGGTATCTCTCTCTTTTTTTTTTTTCCTCCAAATGCTTTTGAGTTTTGTTCTACATTGTTCTCCCTCTCTATCCAGGATCTCCCTCCAAGTGGTTGACAGTGGTAGTCAGGTACCATCTAGTTCTTCTGGTCTCATAGTTGTATAAGCTGAGGATCACATGGTGTACCAGTCGCGAGGACTAATTGTTTCCGTGAATCTTTGGTTTTCCTCATTCTTCTTTGCTCTGTATGAGGAGAGACCCATCATTGCATCTAGATGGCTGCTTGCAAGCTTTTAAGATCCCCTGTGTAATGAAGGCCCAATATAACCTTTAGACATTAAAATTCAGGTGAGCTTCCCTGGTTAACAATATGGCATATGTATAGTCATCGATCCAAAGAGGGTAATGCAGACCAAGAACAATGGAAGCTGGTCATTTGAAACTGCTAGATCTGCCTTGTGGGTGTCTTCCTTTGGTTAAGTTTGATCTGTATCCTTCTTCCATAAGGTATAAATCAACCATGAGTATATTATCTCTCAGTGAGTTCTTTTAGCAAGTTATGAAACTTGTGGGTGATTTCTACAACACCCCCAAACTTGCAGTTGGTGTCAGAAGTGAGAGCACTGTTGGGGATTGTTCTGTCTTTTTAATTGGGCCTTAGATCCTTTCCATTGGTGTCAAAATTCTTGGAAAGACTGGCAGTGGGGAAAGCTGCTGTCAAATCCACAGCTCAGCTAACTCTGGGTAAAATATAATTTGCAAAATTTGGAGGCTTACTTAAATTCAATCCCATAGCCCTTGTATATATACAATAAGGTGGGAGGGCAAACATAAGGATATAAGTTGCACACAAAACAAGCATGTTTCGTTTTACTTCTCTGAACCCTGAAAAATGCATAACTTAACCAAAATTCAGGTGCACTATGACATTTGGTAAACTTATTTTTGTGTGTGTGTGTGCATAATATATTAAAATACTAGATGCTGTGTCCACAGAACTGATTTCAAATTCCAGATTTACCCTTTATTACTTTCTCTTTGGAAATAGTGCATAATTTTCATTTTCTCACATATATGGTCTGGGATACTGTTAATATTAAATACGTCTCCCAGAATTGATGGAATACCCAGTGAGATGTTTCAACAAACAGATGCCCCACTAGAGGCACTCACTTAGCCATGCCAAGAGATTTGGAAGACAGCTACCTGGCCAACTGACTGGAAGAGATCCATATTTGTACCCATTCCAAAGAAAGGTGATCCCACAGAATGTGAAAATTACTGAACAGTATCATTAATATCACATGCAAGGAAAAATCTTACTGAAGATAATTTAAAAATGGCCACAGCAGTACATCTACACACGGAGATTTCCAAATAATGCTGGCGCCCTGGATGTTAAAAGGAGATAAGGACCTTCCTCTACAGCAGATAGAACCCATCTGCTAGAGCCAATGCTTTGAATTTGGAATTGAGTTTTTCTTGGCCATTGAATGGACTTTGCACCCTTGTTGAAAATTTGTTGATTTGGGGGTTTGGAATTCTGTTCCTTTGGTTGATGTGTCTATCACTAAATCAGTCCCAGGCTGGTTTTTTGTTTGTTTTGTTTTTAAATTATGATTTGGGTGAAAGTTTACAGAGCAAATTTACTTTCCATACACCAGTTCACATACACTTTGTCTCATGACATTGACTACAATTTACCCCAATACAACTCCCCTCCCACTTCTTCCCAATGGTTACCTCTTCCCTGTGTCCAACCCTCCATACATTCCTGCCCCCTGAGCTGTCTCCCTGTGCATAAACAGCCCTTCTTTCTCCCATGATTGTTCTAAGGAATGTATCTACCTTGGGTAAATGTTCAACTCATATTCCTGTCTTTTGTTTGGCTGGAAGCCACAAGTGTGGGTTCAGTTCCAGACCTGAAGGGCATCTAGGGGCCATAGTCTCAGTGGTTCCACCAGGATCTATCAGACCAGCAAACCTGGTCCCTTTTTTTTCCCCCCCAAGTGATTTTGAGTTTTGTCCCACATTGTTCTCCCTCTCTATCCAGGATCTCCTACATAGATCCCTCTCCAAGTGGTTGACAGTGGTAGTCAGGCACCTAGTTCTTCTGGTTTCGTGGTGGTACAGGCTGAGGATCACATGATGTACCAGTCATGAGGACTAATTGTTTCCATAAATCTTTGTTTTTCTTCATTCTTGTATGCTCTGGACAAGGAGAGCCATTGTTGTATCTAGATGGCTGCTTGCAAGATTTTAAGATCCCAGTTGCTATTCGCCAAAGTAGGAGGTGGAACAATGTTTTGTATACTATGTTATGCTAATTGAGGTTGATGTCCCCTGAGACTATGGTCCCAAGCCCCCAGATTCCCTGTGGGTAGCTGGCAGTGGCCAAGAAGTGACTACAACCTTGTCCCTTGTCAGCTCTACTATACACCTGGGAA